AGGAAATGCATAATTCAAATTCAAATTGCAAACATACATCCAAATGTAGAATATTACAAAACCAAAAAACATGTCAAGTCTTAACATATTCAAGTCTTAATAACAGAACCAAAAAACATTCTAGGTTATAAGCTTAAAAGGCTGCAGATGGAGAAGAGGATCCTGCTCCAGCACCGGTTCTTGTGGCACTCGCACCAGTCGCACCGGTTCCAGTCTCGGTACCTTCAGTTCCGATCGCAGCTGTAGTGGCGGTCTGGTTTCCCTGTTTAAACTTGGCAGCAAACGTAGTAGGCTAAGCCTCCAGAAGCATATGAGTTTTGGCCAAATCACCATTTTTTTTTAATAAGCTCATTGTATATGCTGATTGATTTCCTCAATAATCTCCAAATTAAGCCCCGAATATAACCGATCTAAAAATACGATTCGGTCCAAGATAAATAGGCTTGAAAAGCCATCTTGGGAGGGGTTATTACAAGTCCCACATTTTTATAAGGATATAAGAATAAATACATGATCCGTATCGGATATGTTATTGATCCTAAAGTGGGATTCAATTCGAGATGAATGAACTCGAAGAGTTATCATCTCGAGGGGGAGAATTAAAGGAATCCCACATCGACAATAAGTCGATAAACTTTGGTGACTTTGACACCCAGAACGAGAAAACTCTGGTGAAGTCATATCCTAAAATTTATCGACTTATATTGCAAAATCTATGGATAAATATTCTTGTGATTATCCATCATGTAATCACTTTGTCTCCAAGTTACTAGGATAACTTAGTCCCCAAGTTTTATGTGTCTGGCCTATCCAATAAACCCCTATATATATGTTTTGTACGAGAGAAGTGAAGAAGGGTGAGTAGAGAGAGAGAGACTAGTTATTAATTGGAGAATCTTGTGTCTTTGTTTTCATACGTCTACTCCTCCTCTCTCAATTATATCTTTGCAAGATCATGAACATATACATAAAGTAAATTTTATTTATGTTTGCGTTATATTTTATAACAGCATGATATATGTGAAAGAAAGTTCTCATGCTAATATTTCGAGTGGGCTTATTGACCTTATAAGGTCTCTAGAAGTATGTTTTAACCACATGTCCAATGATGCTTCTTTATATTGAGTTTTAACCTAAGCTGCATGGAATCGGAAGCGGGTACGCGGAAGCGGAAGCGTTTGGAAGCGCCGAAGCGAATTTTTTAAAAAAATTAGGAAGCGGGTACGTGTTGGAAGCGTGTAATATATATACAATATTATATATATATAAACTAAATTTAAAAACCTAAAAATTAGACATAAATAGCAAAGAAGAAATTCTATGGGGTTTTATAAAATTAGGGTTATATAACGTTACAATCGACAATTATTCCAATTCTTGTTGTAGTGTAGTGGCATGTACAGTTTTAATATCCTCTCTGGTCCAGAGATCGAGCCTTGGCAGCTCCAAAAGTTATTTTTTTTTACTTAAAAGAAGAAGGGTAAACTTGTAATTTCCTTGAGGAGTCATCTTCTTCCTCTAGAAGCCCTAATCGCCGTCTTTCTTCTGCATTTTTTTCCCTTTTTTTGTATATTGGTAAAGCAAGCAACGCTTCCAATCTATTCCCGACGCTTCCTACTCAGAATCTTACGCTTCCACCACGATTCCAAAAGACTCATTTAGGGAATCGCGATTCCAAACCGATTCCGAACGATTCCGAGCGATTCCGCTCCCGTTTCCGATTCCGGAGCGGGAATCGACACTTCTCCGGCGATTCCGTGCAACGTAGGTTTTAACATCTGAATTGGTGTCGCCTAGAATGCAGACGTGTTGCAAGTTGCAACACATATTTGCCAGTATTCAACTCAAAGTCTTAAGCATGACTGATTTTATTTGAACATCTCGAACACCTCAACTTTATAATTGAATATCTCACAAAAACAAATATGATCGAAAACATGAAATCATTTTTTTTCCAAAACTTTTATCAACTACTCGTAAAACATAGAATATATTAATGTTAAATCAAAAATGGGAATTAAATGTAATGAAAGTATTCATAGGCCTTAGGCACAAGTAAACCTTTGGGCCGCTAATAACCCAGCCCATATTAGTGCTTACACATATTTGCGCAATTTAAGGCAAAACACAACAAATAAAAGAGAGATTCATGCGCAAATGATGGTAAAGAAAATAATGGACCATGCGACCAACAAACAAACAAAGCATTCTTGCGGTCATAACTACTTCTTTCTTTCTTCCTTTTTGTTTTAATCTCAATGTCTTAACCTTAATTGATTGGTTTATGAAAAACAGAACAAATAAAAAGAAGATTTGATTGAATTTACAATCTCATTGCACCTAACTACTTTTGTCATATCTGAACACAGACTTCTACATCAAGCTAGGGTTATCTTTTCTTTTTCGTTTCACCTTCCATTTCTCTTATGTACTTTATAACCATAAAATATCTTAAAGACTAGAACCCCAATTAATATTGTTTGAAAAATAAGATATATAATTTTTGTTTGGTTAAATGATTTATAACTTAAACTTTATATCCTTTTAAGATTATTTTAAAATATTCAAAAATACTAGATTTCTTGAAGCTAGCATATGAAAATATTTACGTGTAACACTGAAAATCCTCTAGTGTTTTTGTGATAACTGATTAGTGTTAACTAGGACTGGGCAAAATATCTGTTAGATTCGCTTCGATCCGTTATTCGATTCGATTCAATCAAAAAAATTCGATATCCGTTGTTTTACAAAGTAAATCAAATACTAAAAATTGGTTTTCGTCAAAATTAGAGTAAATAAAAAAAAATAAATTTAAATAGACGGATATCTACTCCACTATAAGATACAAATACATATGCATATATAGATACTTACATATATACATTATAATTTTACTATTTTGAAGCAGAGGAAGTATATGTTTTATAATTTATAATCATCAAATTAATTATTTGAAATACTAGTTCTATTTTTAATAAAATTTTACTATTTTCGGATTAAATTTAAAATTTAAAATTATTTAAATTATTTTAAAACAAATACTTAACGGATCGAATTTCCAACAAATAGTAGTGATTTTAACGGATATATAGTCACTAACGAAGCACATATGAATCGAAAAAATAATTATTCAGATAAAGCGAAGCGAATCACGAATACCACCAAAATCCCAGATATCCGCTTCGTGCCTACCCCTAGTCTTAACCAATTAATTGGTTCGATAAATTGGGTTAGAAAATGTGGGAAAGAAAGAAAAGAAAAAAAGCAATCTTGAGAGCTTTCATTGTGCCGCCCGTAATCATTTGAATTCTCCATAGGATCCAACGTCCACTATTCATATATGATTTCTTCTTTTATTTTTGTGGAAATAGACATCCCACCACTTTCAAAATTAAAACAAGAACAATTTATAAAAGTCACAAATACAATTTAATTACAATATAGAAATAGGAGAGACTGAGAGAGAAAGTTTATATAAGATTTCGAATTCTTATATTTCTTGAAAGAAGCAAAACTACAATTGGTTCTTATATACAAGTATCGAACTTAACCGGTCAACTGAACCAGCAAATTAATCTAAACCAAAACTATATACACTCTAATTGTCGTTGTTACATAATGGCAAGCTAACGGCTGTATTGCATATATACATATGAACAAAACCCATCCTTATAACAGTATTCTATCCAAAAGTTTTACTCATTATACTTAATTTCAATAATATTATTGTGCTTTGAGTGGCTTTACCAAGTTCAATTTCGGTGTTTCCAAAAGACAAAGCTTTATATTTCTTAGTCATTCGCACCTAACACTTAAAGACATAATATATTCCAGAGTCACACAGATATATAAATTGATTCCAAAGTCACACATATATAAAATTGAAATACGATGATGAAAGCAAAATATACAAATTAGTATATGAAAAAGAGCGAGGAATTGTTTTAGGGCATATCATGCTGCTTAGTGAGGTATCAGGTGGGCTCACTTACGACTAGAGTTTTCGTTATCTGACTTCCATGGATGCTCGCCACGTGTCAATCTTGAATATTTAAAAGGTCAACCATCACATGAGCTCCAAGAAGAGGAGTGGGTTTTACGTTTTAACATAAGTAATTACAATTCACAACTATAAAAGTAGTTTACACTAACTTTACCATTCATGTCCAACAAAATGAATAAAAAAATAAGATTTGTTTTTTCGAGTCGGATTTTCAAATTCATCAAAAACGATTGAAGTTTGTTGGGAAGAGTAGATAATTCATCGAACAATAACATCGTTGGATTTTTAGTGCGTATGGTAGGCGATTTGAACAATGAGGAGTATGTACTATGGTTCCTTACGCCGGTTTCAAGATGAAACAAAGTATCCTTAAAGACTCTTCGATGCTTTAATAAGAACATAAAAGACTCGCTCTTCCACGCTTTAATAAGAACTTAACAAATACGACTACTAGATAATCGAGAAAACGTTGGATAAAAAAGATATTTAGTTATGAATCTAGTTAAGAAGTTATCTAATGATAAATTTGGTGTTTTAGCGACCTTAGAAAGAGGGTTTAAAGAAATACTATAAGGTTTTCCTCGGAAGGAGGATATTGGAACTTTTTGAAACTAAACAAACTTTTTTTTGAAGATTTCTTTCATGAATAAATAAAATAAACTATTCACAAGTTTTAACATTTTGCCAAACTATATTGTGAAAGATACTGATTAATAAATTAAAAACAAAAGATACTAATTAATGAATTAATAGCAACAAAACATCCCGATAAACAGTAGAAATAAGCTTGACGTTTTAAAGGGAATAAATAAGCAAAAGATAGTGAACCAACACTTGATTTTCTCTACACACGTCTCTCTTTCTCCATCTTCTATCCGTTATAAAAAAAAAACACTAAAGTGTAAAAGGCAGCGAATTAACTCTTAATTTTTCTCTACTCAAATCCCTATTCTCTCTCTCACTCTCTCTACCCCAACCCCATCTTAGAAGTTACGACATCGAAGAGCTCATCATCCCAAGTTCTTTGTTCTGGTTCGAATGGTGTGATCGATGAACATCATCCGAGGATTTACTTGTCCCTTCAGGTTCTCCACTTCTAATTAAGGTTTTTGCTTGTAAGTTCTCTCTAATCCCACTTCTAAATCTAGTCAAAATCCTCCATCTATATATTGTTATCTTTCTGATCCTGCTATCAGAAATATTAATGTTTAATAAGTATTTTCTTATGTTGAATTAGTCAACCAAATTATAGAGATATAGAGATCTATCACTTCTTCTATTGATTTCATTTTCAGATATATAATTATTATTTCTAATTACAATGTGGTTTTCTCACGCAATAATCTAGTAACGTCAGCAAATGGTTTGTCTAAAATATCAAAGTAAAATGCAAAATGGGGTATTTAGAAACTATTTCTTTTATTAACTTTGCCGATTTTTGAGAAATCCATATTGATGAAACCGTGTTTCAGAAATTACCAGTACAATATTGTGAAAGAGGACTAATAAATTAACTCAACAGAAAAATACAATAAAAGAAGAAAGGTGAAAAAAGGCCACAAGAATTAATGAGAGGATTAAAAGGTTTGGTGTCGTCCACAAGCAATGGAGATTATGAGCTTGCTCAACGAAAAGCTGAAGAAACAGGTTTGTCTCATCATTATCATTCTTTGTTTTTCTTTTATAATTCTTTATAAAAATTGTTTTCATAATGAACATGAAAAATAAATCAGATAAAGTAAAGAGAAAAGAAGTCGAAGATGGACCATATATTTAATTAGCTTTGTGATTCAAAAAACAATTACGTTGGATTTGAATTAGAGAAAGTCGTTTAGAAATTGCTTTATGAAAATGGCTTTCATTAGAGGGTTACCCACCACAACCGCAAAACTATTATTACTTTATGTTTGGTATGGTGGATATACAATTCAAATTTTGTATAATCTCCCAAATTTGTAACGCTTATTTAAGTAGATAGACATTTTGTAGGTCACAATTAAAGAAATAACCTTGATGACAATATGGTAAATAAGAGAGAGGATGATTTTGTGAGGATTGACAAAAAAGCCATTTGCCACTATTGCGAAATGTCATTTTATTAAGTACCTTGCTAACTCTTGCTAATTCGAGGACTTAAAGGGTAATCATCTAAAATATTGTTTACTAAAAGAAATAAAAAAAAAAAGCAAAATTATACTAATTTAGATGGTCAAACGGTAACCAGCCAAAAAGTACAAAAAATTTTACCAACAAAATTTGTTTATTTAATAAAACAATCATAAGTTATTTACTTAAGTCATTAAAAAATGTATGATTATCTAAGTTATATTCCCTAAAGCAAAATAAGTTGTCATAACTCATAAGAACAGTAACAAACTAACAACAAAATGATTACGGACTCTTTTGAAACCCATTAGGCTAGATATTGGGCTTTTAAGCAATAACTGAGCCCAATTAATTTCCCGCGTAAAGTTCCCGTTAGGAGATATTTATTATAATACTTTTTTCGATTTTTCTCATTTTTCAATTATCGAAAAACAATAATAAAATGTACAGTTGTGTCTTGTGAATTGTCAAAAAAATTCCTAAGCTCTGAGAAGGTATCAAGCGGTGGCATGGCTGAGACAGATGGACCAAGGCGCGGCGGATACACTCCCGGAAAAAACCGTCGGAAGACGAGTTCTCCCTCGCCCTCCGCAACGGTCTCATTCTCTGCAACGTCCTCAACAAAGTCAATCCCGGTTCAGTTCTCAAGGTCCGGTTCTTAATCTTATAACTCCTCTAATGCAATTATCTAGGGTTTGATTTCCATTTTCCAAGGAGATTTTAATGGATTAAGAGCTTTTTTGTGGTTGATTCAACTTTGATATATACTTAATTTCGAATAATTTCTGAAGTTCCTGTGATTTTGGTGGTTTTAATTGTTGAATCAGGTGGTGGAGAATCCGATTACGCCAGCTATTCAGTACGCCGAGGGAGCGGCGCAATCTGCAATTCAATATTTTGAGAACATGAGGAACTTTCTTAAAGCTGTAGAGGATATGCAGCTTTTAACATTTGGAGCTTCTGATCTCGAAAAGGTTCTATTTCAGTATCAAACTATGTAGTTGTTACTTTAAGTTTTGGCTATATCCCGAATCGAGCATACGCATATGTTATGTTCGATGAAATTCCTCAGAGAATTATAATATGATGAATGATGCATTTTGTAAGTTGATTAGGATATGAAAGATTGTTATTTTTGTTTTTGTTTTTGCAGGGAGGATCGTCGAACAAAGTAGTAGATTGTATTTTGTGTTTGAAAGGTTTTTATGAGTGGAAACAAGCGGGTGGAGTGGGAGTATGGAGGTATGGAGGGACTGTGAGGATAGTTTCTTTCAATCCAAAAGGCAGCTCTCCGTCGCAGTATGGGATTGGTAGTGAAAGCACTACCGATGAGTCTGTTTCTTTGGATGAATCTGAGTCTTCTCAGTATGACCAGCTTTTGGATTTTCTTCACCTTTCTAATGAGATTTCAACTGAGGAATCTGAAACTGCAATCTCCATGGCCTTTCTTTTTGATCATTTTGCTCTTCAGCTTCTACATGGTTATATCAAAGAGAGTGATGGGATCAACGATATGCCTTTAAATGAAATGGTAGGTAAGACATGTTTGAGTTAAGTTTGATTGCTCTGTATTTAGTTATGCAAGATTAAACTTTTAACTCCTGTTGAATCAATCATTCAGATAACAAGAAAATATATTGTGTTTCACCTTCTCATATTTGTGATACTTTTATAGGTGATCGATACATTGCTCAACAGGGTAGTTAAGGATTTCTCTGCAATACTAGTTTCTCAAGGGAATCAGGTACTACTTACTTTGCATACTCTTCATGGAATTTTACTTGGAATGTTGAAACTTTTCTCTGTGGTCTATAATTAGTTTTTGGTACCTACTTGCAGTTGGGTTCGTTTCTAAAGAAGATACTGAAATGTGATAACGGGGATCTGTCAAGATCAGAGTTTTTAGCAGCAGTCTTCAGATACCTTCAGCACAGAAAAGATTTGGTGTCAAAGGAGTTTTCAAAGTTTTGTAAATGTGGCGGAAAGCTTGAATTTATTAGACCAAACGTCAGCGAGTTTTCTCCTGGTCATGCAGAAGCTATTGGTCTTCAACAGAAAGAGCTGGAGGTCAGGATTTACATTTCTCTTCCAATACTAAGTTTGAATTTTCTTCCTTTTGAAACTTCTCATTTGGTCAATTCTTAAATGGTGAAAGCTGCGAGCGAACCTTGAATTTTCGGATTTCTTTCTTGGTTGAACTCATGTAGGAAGTAAAATCAAATTTTGTGGAAACAAGAAGTCAAGTTAAACAAATGCAGTCAGAATGGCAGAAAGAGCTTCAAATGATAGGTAATGAATCTTCTCATACCCAAATTTTCTCTCCTCGGTAATTAAAGATTACATGATCAATCTCTATCATCCTCTATGGCAGTCCATCACGTTAAGGCCATGGAAGTTACATCTTCTTCTTACCACAAGGTTCTGGAGGAAAATCGCTTACTTTACAATGAGGTCCAAGATCTTAAAGGTACCATACATCCTTGCATTTGATTTTTAATAGTTTTTAGTGTATTAACTTATGTTATTGATGTACTGTAGGCACCATTAGAGTTTACTGCAGAGTCAGACCTTTCTTACAAGAAAAAGATATGCAATCAACCGTTGATTATATTGGAGAAAATGGTAATATTATAATTAATAATCCTTTCAAGCAGGAAAAAGATGCACGAAAAATATTTGCATTCAACAAAGTATTTGAACAGAATGTCTCACAAGGTATGTTTAATGTTTTGTTATTCCATTGATCCATCTACGAGTGAATTCTAATTTCCAATGATATTTTGAGACTTTTGTTATTGGTTGGTTTTGCACCACCTAACTATTTACATGATGCTTTCTTCCCTGTTGATATTTGGTTGTGTACTTACCAGAGCAAATCTACATTGACACTCAGCCGGTAATAAGGTCCGTCCTTGACGGATTCAATGTTTGTATCTTCGCGTATGGGCAAACCGGTTCAGGGAAAACGTATACGATGGTATGACCATTTCTATTTGTTTGCAAAGTGACTCCCATAAACATTCAGACATGTTATTTCTTACTCTGCCTTGGACATTTGTTTGTCTCTATTTTGCCTTACAGAGTGGGCCAGATCTGATGACTGAATCAACTTGGGGCGTGAATTACCGAGCTCTACGTGATCTCTTCCAGCTTTCAAATGCCAGAACACATGTTGTGACTTATGAAATTGGAGTCCAAATGATTGAAATATATAATGAACAAGTTAGAGATCTACTAGTCAGTGATGGTTCTTCAAGAAGATATCCTTTCATATACTTTATAATGAAGAAGTCTAGAGTTCTATTGAAATATTTACATGTTCTTCTCGAGTTTTACCTTTGAGAGTCCCGTAATCCTTGACCAGCTTCTCACATTAGACATACGCAATAATTCTCAACTCAATGGCCTTAATGTACCCGACGCAAGCTTGATTCCAGTTTCTAATACTCGAGATGTTCTTGATTTGATGAGGATTGGCCAAAAGAATCGTGCAGTGGGTGCCACTGCTTTGAATGAGAGGAGCAGTCGTTCTCATAGGTAAATTTTTTAATCCCACTTCTTAAACTTTTCCTATGATCATGTTATAGTCATTGAACTGCTGTATATTCTACTGTAGTGTGTTAACCGTTCACGTCCAAGGAAAAGAATTGGCCTCAGGGTCCATTTTAAGAGGCTGTCTTCATCTAGTGGATTTGGCTGGAAGTGAAAGAGTAGAAAAATCCGAAGCTGTAGGCGAGAGACTCAAAGAAGCTCAACACATAAACAAATCGTTGTCTGCACTAGGAGATGTCATCTATGCACTTGCACAAAAGAGTTCCCACGTTCCCTACAGAAATAGCAAGCTTACACAAGTTCTACAGGACTCCTTAGGTGAACACTAAGACTAAGTTTTGCAAGCTTTGTTTTCCTTTTTGTAGCTTCATTTCTCATCTGTGAAATTATGTGCAGGTGGCCAAGCCAAAACTTTAATGTTTGTGCATATTAACCCTGAAGTTAACGCGGTAGGAGAGACTATCAGCACCCTTAAGTTTGCCCAAAGGGTTGCATCCATTGAACTTGGGGCAGCTCGATCAAACAAGGAAACCGGTGAAATTCGAGATCTTAAGGATGAGGTATATATGGCACCCCGTTTCATTTTCGTTGTGAAAAGGGAAATAAATATGTTGTAAACAATCTTTCTTCCACATTTGTAGATATCCAGCCTTAAATCGGCAATGGAGAAGAAGGAAGCAGAGCTGGAACAATTGCGATCAGGTAGCATTCGGAACACAACTGAATGTCAGAGAGCAAGAGCAGTTTCTCCTTTCCATCTCCCAAGAACTGGTAACGTTGCTGGAACAAAGGCTGAGGCAAGTCCACAGCCAAATGACAGTACCAGAAGCTACGAGGTGAAATCGCTCAGAGTGTAGATCTTTCTTTTTCTACTGATCAGTTGGCAAAAGAGACTAATATTTAATCATTTTGGTGAACGCTATTTGCAGACCAGAAGTTGCTCAACTGGCAAGCAGAGAAAGTCTGGGTTTCCGTCTGCACTGAGAAACAGAGAAGCAAGCCCGAGGATGCCGAATCTAGCAGAAGAGAGGTTAAATCCGAGTCCAAGTAGAAGATCACTATCCACAGATAGAGCATCTGCCATCAAAAGTAGGAATAAGCCCGACATTACTCAAAACCTTCCGGTTTCAAGAACACCTTTTCCAGCTAGAGTACCAGTAGCCAAATCCTTTTCAACTGTTCCATTGAACCCATCAGCAGAAAACAACCCCAGGCATCAAACAGATAACACTTCAGAGACATTTCACAATCATCAGAAGTTAAGCGCTCGAAAGCTCTTCCCTGAGATCGAGGAGGAACACATTAGGCATGCACTTCACATACGTCAAGGTGGTGTTAAGAAGACCCGAGCCGAGAGCAGTAAAGCCAAGGCAAAGCAACCATCACCAGCTAGGTTTCAGAAACTTGATGTTGGGATCAGTTTGCGTTCTGAGGCAGATTCTGAAGCAAAGGTAGGAAATTATCAGATCCAAAAGGGGAACAACAACCACAATGTGATACACTCAAGATTCCAAAACTTCGACGTTGGTATCAGCTTGTTCTCTGACCTTTGTCCCGGTGACAAATCAGATTCAACACTCAAGAGTGATTCCTCAGAGACAGACAACGAACCACCCTCGAAACCTAAGAATGCCCAAAGAAACTTGTCCAAAAACTCCCTCAACCACAAACTAAGGTTACGATAAACTCCACAAGATCTTTCACTACGTATAGTCAAACACTTGTTAACTTTATTACATATTAACGCGCAGGACGATTTATGCTCATGAGGACACTTCAATCGTGGACGACAAGCCTTCAAATGGTACAGCCCATATCAAAGAAGGTAATAATAATACATCTATGCCTGAGTTCAGAAGAAGTCGTTCAACGCATCATGCAAGGTTCATGGTACCATAGAAACATATCCAAGACTACAAAATATTTATCTCACAAATCCATCACACATCATATCCTTTGTACATTTTGAAGTTGGGTTTTCTGGACTTTTTCATGTCCTTATACTACATAGTTGTGACTGAGATTGAACTGTTTATCATAAGAACGAGTGTCCCACGTCGCAAAAGATAAATTTATTCTTCTTGAGGTTCTTTGTTACCCTCTAAATTGTTCATTTAAATTGCCGTAAACGTCATGGAAGCAAATCTAAATCCGGTGAAAACAGAGCGAATCTCTGAAGATCTGTTCCATGTCCAGCCCCCTACGTTCTATACGCTAGTATTTGGCTATTTGCACATTCTTAACAAGTTTTGAAACATTAACTCAATCAACATTTTTTTCTCTAATTAAAAACCAAAATATTGGTTTCTTGGAGCTGCTTTGTCACATAGGACTCATATACAATACATATATACTAACATTAACCAGACTGACAAGGAGGTTTTGCAAGAATAGCGTAACATAAGATTAGGAACCTTCTCTCTATTTTTTATTTTTTTTTATCTTAATCACAAATGTCATGGTACAAACAACAACATAAAATTATCTAATAATACCATATACAGTAAGTTGATATTTATGATTATGAATACCAAAAAATATTTTAATAGTCTCAACTAAGTAATATTAAACTACTGTAATAGTTTTAACACAAATAGTGAAATGATATAGTTAAAAAATTGTTTTCAATAGAAAAAAAAATTTTGACCAAAAAAAAATAACGTAATGAAGAAAATCTAATGAAAAATGATCACATTTCTATTATTTGTATAACTGTACAAATTGGTTGAAATCAGATTTAATATCAACATTAAAAAGTTTTTAGATAATGAACTAATTATTAAACTGCAAAATAATGTCGTCTTCAAATTACTTTTAAAAAACTAATCAAATAACATAGCTAAACTATGATAGCTTTATTAGAAAAAACTAATCAAATAACATAGGTAAGCTATGATAGCTTTATTAGAAAAAAAAACTAATCAGCTAAGCTATAATAGATTTATTAGAAAGAAAAAAACTAATCAAATAAGATAGCTAAGCTATGATAGCTTTATTAGAAAAATACGAACCAAACAATATTGCTTTGTTTAGGTAGTAGTTATTTAAGAAAATGCATAGCCATATGTTTAGAACATTTGATTGTATTGTATATATGCAATCGACCTCTTAAAGGTATGCAACACCATAAAATGATAAGATGAAGAACATAGTTTGCACACCATATATATGTTCCCGTAGACCTTTTGGTATTCGTTCCATCTTTCCAGGTTTTAATGAAATGTTGGCAAAAAAAATTTTAGCATGTTTTTGATGTATTATTATTAATATAATCTAGGAAAATTGCGAAAAAAAGAAAAAAAAGAAAAAGAAGAAAAAAAAGATCCTAGCCTGTTAATGTTTTACCTCAAAAAAGATCCTAGGCAATTTGGTTCTTCCGTTCGATCTCTATTAAGACTATCCCGGAAATATAGACCATCGATTTCAAAAGTTCTTTTCCCCAATACACTATTGGTACTATGTAACCAGACTTCGTTTGAGGAACAATCGCCTGAACATAAATATATGTAATCAGTCCCTTGCGAATGGAGGTATAAATTCACGAAAAAGTTGATTAGAGGCAATTAGTTGGTAAGGCACAAGGAGATTCTCGAAGTGGAAAATCCTCCAAAAATAAATATGGGCTGGAAGCAAGAGGTATACAAATTGGAAAACCAACATTTCCAACATTAGGTCTTATAGTCCATTTGTAATACGATGAAAGTCTTGACAAAAGACTTCAGGGGCAGCTGAACCTCGAAGAGCTCAAAACGAAGCACTTGATAACATAGTTGAGCTGTACTAAGTACAACATGAGATTATGACACCGGAGATATGTCAAAATGTAGTGGCAGAGAGAGTTGTTGCAAGGGATGCTCCGTCTTGGTTCACCAAATGTTTCGGTTGTCTCATATGAAGAAGATTATGAAGGTAATTAGTTAGAACTCTAGCGTTGAAAGTGGAGAAGAAAATAGATTAGTATGCACTATGCATAGTTACTAATAAGAGCCAATATATGGAAGATAGTTTGTTGGTCAAAAATAAAATAAAAATAATGATATCTTCTACTATCATTTTACTTACCATTTTATTCGGAAAATTGCAGCACATATCATTCCTTTTTACATGCATATACCGTTTTTGGATGCCTGTAACAACAAACCAATCATATATACCATATATACTATATTTCAACTATCGACATTTAAAAAAAAATTAAGTCCCTAAAGTCTTTAAAACCATATTTACCAATTGGTCTCATAATCTAAAAAATTATTGGTAATGAATCCGAAGGATATCTGCTATAGGCGATAAATGAAGAGTCCGAATAGAATTTTGAATGTAAAGACCGTTGCGAAGATTCTACAACTCAAGAAGACGATTCATATCTTTTACACAAAAAATGAAAAAAAAGTATTAGTTTTTTTTGGACAAGTGAAGACTATGAAAGAAATGACTTAAAAATCTTCAATTTAGAAAAGATTGTAAACTAGAATCTTAGATGAAAAACTCTAAATCAAATTGTTTATATTTATTTATGTTTGAATATAACGATCTGTTTGAATTTATATTAAGTTTATTAATACTAGCGTTTATTTTAACATTTATGAAATTTTGAGGGTTTAAAAACCCACAAAAAAAAGTTGAGGATTTTTTATATGTTCTTAAGAAAACTGAGGGTTTTCTACCCATTTTTCCCACAAAAACATATACATACATATAAATATACGCAAATTATTTTAAATTAAAAAAGATATGGAACTAATATTTTTGATGATTAAGGAAAATATTGAGATATATATTGCCTTTATACCGTTTCCGAGTATCAAGAGTGGATGATACACAATTGTTCCCGCAAAATTTTCAACTAAGGACCCATATTTAGAAACAATCACAAAAAAGATTAAAAACCCGTCAGAAAATGCATTGGATAAAATATTATACAACAAATACATAAATATAAAGGAATGTATTGGAATTAGAATTTTAGGAGATTTGTCGAAATTACAATTTTATAACATTTGAAGAGATTTAAATGAGTTTTTAAAATATTTAGATTAATTTGGTTATTTTTTTACTTTTAAAAAGATAAATGACTAATGACTTAAGAGATATTAATGGGATTTTGTATGGTACTTGTGATATTTAATATTTTCAAAGCAAAAAGAGAAACATTGATCATCTCGCAGCCATCATCATATATATTCATCGCCATATACCGTTCTTTTTTTTTAATGTAATGTTAAATCATATTAATGAAAAAGTAACGTTTTTGGGTACATAGTTATGAAAACGTTTGCTGAAAAACTTGAAAGCTAGAGATACATGAATTTGGACTTAATGTCTAGATACAAACCAAGCTTATAGGCTAGATGCAAAAACATATATCGTTATCATCTTCACCATATTTCTATTGGAGTCGCCATCATCGTAAACCCAACCAAAACCAAGGTTTGTGAGTGCTGAGGTTCAACTTTAGATGCAAGGGAATATAGGATGAAAAGTAGTTTTCCGAGGATATCTAGCACTAAACAATAGTATAGATTTTACCCATGAGTAGGTGAAAATCTTATAGTTGATAGAATGAAAATGTCCAATTCTCTGCCTTGAAAGGCATCAACAGTAACAACTTCCACTTCTTGAGACCCAAATTTTTTCAAGACATGATAGCGCAAAAATGTTGAGTTTATGTTTGTAAGCGGTTATTATCCCAATCCTTTCCGGAACATCTTTAATGGGATAACTGTAATAAGCAAAGAAGCAGCCAATGATTAAGATAACATTATATAACATGTGACAGATTAAATACCTCTTCTCAAAAACTTTTATCGATTATATACAAACTCCAACATCTAGGTCATTGCGGTAGGACCTACCATCTGCTCTAGACCATCAAGAACATAAAAAAACATATGGTTAGTTAAGAATATAGGATAGAGTTTCTATATAGAATTAAGAATATGAGATTATATATAGAAACTAGCATTATTCCTCTTTTTTAAAAAAAGTTGATATACAAGCACTCAATTTGATATATTTCTTGATTTCCCCGTGAATTGTATGTTTACAACAATATGGACAGAATTTTTTCAATTCCAATCGACTAGGGGTGTTATACATTCCCGCCGATGCTTTCTTAATATAATTTCGAAAACTACTGGTACATTCCAAAATAATAGTTACTCTTAACATGCGAAAAGGGGATTTTCATACCCGTACTATCTGCACCGTGGATTTTCATACCTGGACAACCCCAGAACAGAAGAAACAGAGTAAGTTTACACAGAGAGAGAAAGTGTAAAGAATCAAGAAGCGATTTTTCACGAATTTTCACGTTTCCGAGTTTTCTTCCTATTAGACAATAGAGTCGGTTATTGAAATGTTGTTTGGTACAATGTAAACCGGTTAGTAAACCGGAACACTCTACTTTATAAAGAGTGTTTCCTGTAACAGAATCATTAAAGAGAATAACAAACTTTTATCATCTTCTTCGTTTTCTCTGATTGTTCATCAACTATCACTTCCAGTGATCATGGCGTCGTCTTCTCCAAAATCAACAAGTGAGGAAGTTCACCTTAGCGTTGTGAAGAACGTTATCGCCGGCGTAATGTCTGTTCCCGTCTGTCTTGCTCTGTACCACACATTGCCACAAATCTGGATCCCACTCGCTCTGTTTGCAGGTAGCGCTTTAAACACAGTTGCTTCCACATTCATGGAGTGTGTATTGAAGAACATGAATTGGAAGTACACCATCTTGGACTCGCTTATTGCATTAGTATCTTTCTCTGCCGGCAGATTGATTCCGATGCTCTGTGGCATGCTTGTGAAACCTCGAATTCTAAGGATTGTGTTTTTGGTGATTTCCTGTGGTTTTGTAACGGGCGGTGCAATACTGAATTGGAAAATAAAAAACACTGAAGGGGGCGATTCCAATTCTGGTGAACGTAGACCTACCAAAATTTGCGTCGGGTGGGTGTGGTTTGTGTCAATGATCGGCACCGGTGTGTTTGTGACTATCGCCGATGAAGTTTAGGTTGTAAAATACCCTACAAAATTGTCCAGATATGAAAATCCACAGCGCAGACAGTACGGGTATGAAAACGACGTCGTTTTGATACACGTCAGCGTACACGTGTACGATGACTCAGCACCGAAACGGAGTTGACTAACATCCGTTAGATTGACTCCGATTTTTGCACACTGTATCAAGTATAAGTATGAGATTCAAATTTTATAGGAGTTTAGGTTGTAAAATACACTACAAAATTGTCCTGGTATGAAAATCCACAGTGCAGATAGTACGGGTATGAAAATCCCCTTTTCCCCTCTTAACATCTTTACCCTTGGCCATGAAACCTCTTTTGAATTTATGATTCACCTCAATCTTCTATTTTAGTTTTAGGATCCAGAAAGAACAAGAACAAAAAGAATAGAAGTCGTTAACTAAAAAATTCTGAAATATTTCGTTGCAATGAATATATAATTTCTGAAATAATTTGTTGCAGACAAAATATTGAAATATTTGGCTGCTCGACTCATCAACGCCATTAAGCAACTCCTTGTTATAGAAATGCCTAGACGGAAACAAGAGACTTGGGGATGCATCCTATATTGGGTGGAAAGCATTACCACATTATGTCCTGTCTTTTGAAGTCGTTCAAACATGCTTCTTTGAAAGAAAAAAAAAAAACTTATTTTCATTATTTCAAGTAAGAAGTAATTCTAGGTCATTGTTGTAAGAGCTACCATCCGAATGCTCTATGCCATCAAGAACATAAAAAAAACATATGGTCGAAGAAGATTGTTCTCGTGGAATGGACCTGTTTTGCTCGACTCATCAACGCCATTAAGCAACTTCTTGATGTAGAAATGCAAGACTTGAAACAAGAGATTTGGGGATGCATCCTATATTGGGTGGAAAACATTACCACATTATGTCCTGTCTTTTGAAGTCGTTCAAATATGCTTCTCTGAAAGAAAAAAAAACCTATTTTTCATTATTTCAAGTAAGAAGTAATTCTAGGTCATTGTGGTAAGAGCTACCATCCGAATGCTCTATGTCATCAAGCACATAAACATATGGTCGAAGAAGATTGTTCTCGTGGAATGGACCTTCTTATATCACTAGAACACAAAGATTGTTTTTGTAGATTTGATACTAGCACATAAAGATTGTTTTTGTGTTCTAGTGATATAAGATTGTAATAAAAATTATAAATTTGTAATAAAAATCATAAAAATTTATCTCAAAAATACAGTTTTATGTGTTTACTGCAATTTTGAAAACATTATTTGATTAATACTAGCACAATCTTATATCACTAGAACACAAAAACAAAAACCCATCTCTCAGGATCAAATCTACTGAGAGCATTTCTTCAAGTATGCATTCCACCCTTGAATTCTATACTCATGAGCCGTCTCTGCTAGGTTTTCCGCCTTTATGATTCCCGTCCTACGGTTATAATCACTTCCCTTCTCAGTAATCACCTGAACAAAGAAAAAGAGCAATCGGCATTATATTTACGACTAAAATACTAACAATGGATGTAAGATGAATGCAAGGGTTGGGAGAGACTCACAGAGTATGGAGTGTTATATGTACTGTTGAACAAGTGCATCACCACCTTTCACCATTTGAATTGTTTAGCACAAGAACTCTCTAGATTTAGGATTAAAATTTTAGATATTTTGTAGTTTGGAGGCTATAAATACTTCCTTCCCCTCTCATTGGTAGACTGTCTTCAAGTTAAAAGCAAAGTAATAAAAGTTCTACTCTCTAAATTTCTCTCTCAAATACTTTAACACTTTCTCCATTACCTCTAAAGAATTTTACTCTAACACACACATCATATCCTTTGTACATTTTGAAGTTGGGATTTCTGGATTTTTTCATGTCCTTTTACTCCATAGTTGTGACCGAGATTGAACCGTTTATCATAAGAACGAGTGTCCCACGCCGCAAAAGATATATTTATTCTTCTTGAGGTTCTTCTTTACCCTTTAAATTGTTCATTTAAATTGCTGTAATCATCATCGAAGCAAATCTAACGGATAAGTAGATATCCGGTGAAAACAGAGCGAATCGCTGAAGATCTGTTCCATGTCCAGCCCTACGTTCTATACACATTCTTAACAAGTTTTGAAACATTAATTCAATCAACATTTTTCTCTAATTAAAAACAAAAATTTTGGTTTCTTGGAGCTGTTTTGTCACATAGGACTCATATACAATACATATATAGCTAAGTAACATTAACACAAAACATACACATACATATATGTATGCAAACTAATTAAAATGTTAACAATTAATGTCAATGCTTATGGTGCTGTGTGTAAATGTAGTCTAAGTGAGATTCCGTCATCATCCTTCTCTTCAAACATTCTTCATCTCCTTCTCCACAATATTCCATTCCCATCAATTTCTGTTATTATAAAAACAAAAACAAAAACTCACAGGTTAAAATATTTATCTCCGAGGCTGCATGTAATTTACTAACTACTTTAGTGTTCCTTAATTTCTAGTATTATTTTGCAATTATGATTAGGAAGAATTAAAAATACACCATTGATCAGTTTCTCATATCTTTTTTTAATGAGAAATTCCTAAAAATGGCCCTAAAACAAGTTTTATTGACAATAATAGCACACACTCCATAAACTTCCAAAAATAGCACTAGTTAACTTACTATTAGTGTTTTTGTTCTAAAAATTTTATCACTAGCTTTTTTTTTTTCAATAATACCACAACTTTTATATAAAAGTTATTCAACAAAATAAATTAGAAATAAATTTAAAATATTATATTTGGGTTATCTATTTTCAATTTAGGGTATATATTTCTACCATTTAAAAGAGATTTTGATTCATTTTAATATTAGTTTATGGTATTATATTTGGGTTCCCTATTTCCAATTTAGGGTATATATTTTTACCATTTAAAAGAGATTTTTATTTTAATATTCGTTTGTGGTATTATATTTGGGTTCCCTATTTCCAAATTAGGATATATATTTCCACTATTTAAAACAATTTTGATTCAATTTAATATTAGATTAGTGTTTGCTCTCTTTTTATTTTCTATCTTATATTTTCATTAAGTTTAATTGAAGTTTATGGTGCTATTTGTGGAACTTTTCAAATGAGGTGCTATTTTTGGAAAAAACAAATTTTTTGGGGCTATTTGTGTCAATCTCCCTTTTTTAATTTATTTATAAAAAGTGAAATAGCAGACTAAATAGTGACATATTCAAATTTCAATTTAGGAAAATAGAATATTAATACAAAATATCATCAAGAAAATCAACTTTGAAAATGTTTCTTGGTATGCATCTGAAAGCATATTTTAGGTGGTTGTATATGGTTTTAGGAAAAATAAAATAAGCAAATTGTTTATTTATGGTAGGGAAAAATTTAGATGGACTTACATTAACTGAGTCCTCTTCCACTGGTGTAGCTGAAACTATTGGATTTATATCTGGATCTTCTTTTCCTGATTATACATTAAGATTTAGAGTTGGAAGATGATTTTGGTAATGAATAATATTAAAATTTCAAGAAACTAATCAGTACTGTGTTCAACATACCTCTTCGAATTGCAGACGAGCTTGTTGATAAAATGAGGAAGAGAACACACACTGCGAGGCACAAAGTTTGCTTCATGTTCTTGGCTCTGAGAGAGAGAGAAACTGAGAAGTTTGTGATAGACATATACCGAATATAAATACACCTAGTCGATCTGAGATTCCATTATTTAATTATTGTTTATTAAAAAAACAACTTTTTCTTAGTTTGGTCAATTTTTCTTTTTTTTGTTCACACATGTCAAACTCAATTTGAATCCAGCTGATAGATATTAGACTACATTAGCTCAAACTATTAGATAATATGGGACATTAACAAATATCAAATGCAAATAATGACATGATTAAGTGTATATAAATCACATACTACATAGTTGGATTTTAAAATTGTTAGTGAAATATTATATACGTTGATTATTATGAGTATCTCAAAATATGAAGGGGACAAGGAAATCTTTAGTAATTCGGGGAGAGCCAAGTTTCGCTAAATAATTGAAAAAGTGTGGTCCAACCAAAGTCTTTAGACACACTAATGCTAAAGTCTTGCCTGTTTTGTCAGAATTTCCAACCTAAGTCAACTCTTCCGACATAATTTGACAGCTGTTTCCCATCTTCCCATTCTCTGTTTCTCTTTTTTTTTTTTTTTTTTTCTCTATACAATTTCTCACTCATATTCATATTTATATTCATTGTTTTTTTTCTTTTACTGTTATCGTTTTTATATAATTAATTAGATCACATTAGTTATCAGTTACTATATCTAACACTAGTTATACAAGCTGTCTGGAGATCTTTTAGATGGTAAACCACAGTTAATTACGAAGCAAAATATAGTTTCATATGTAGTGTAGACATATAGAATAATTTAATAAATTGGAATAAAATGGTGGAACGTTGGCAGGTAATTAGTAGCATTGAATAAGAAATTAAAACCATAACAAACAACTATAAATATTTTTGGAAAAATAACAAAAGTTGTGGACGAAATTGCATAACACATGTAAGCAAAAACCTACGTATGTGGCAACACCACTTCTGTCCCTTAATGCTTTAGTCACTCTCCCTCTTTACACCTATTATTTTGTTTTTATGTCGATGTCATATTATTACCAAACATTTCTAATAACAAATCTAAATGCAAAATAATAAAGACGACATCTAAACAATAAGTACAATTTGATGACGAAAACAAATGAGATAGAAGTACACGTATATACCAAGTTTAATTGGTAGCACAAGAAATACCATTTTGATTGGGCAGACCGTAACATTCCATCCGAGATCTAGGTGAGGATGAGGTCATTCAGTTGTACCACCCGTTCCAAAACAAATACTACCTATAACACTTTAAAACAATTTCGGTTACGAAAACACAATGGATCGATGATACAAAGTGGTACATATTTTTAACGAATAAAAAAATAGTAAGTGATACCAAAATAATTAAGAAGATTATAAAATAACGATAAAAATAATATTTTTATAACGTTTTTGGTATTATCTTTGTGATTAGTAATTGTTAAAGCGATAAACCGTGTACCAGTTAGACTCAGTGTCTAAAATTAAATTTATTACAAAATTTTATTAGTCCTATATATGTTCTTTTCTTTATTTTAGTTCATTTTTTCGGAGACTTATATGTTATCTATGTAATAACGAAAACTAAAATATACACATGGTCAGACAAACACGCATGCAGTCCACCCATACTAATAAGATATATTTTGTCAAATTTCTGTGTTTTTATTTAATTGGTAGTTTTACATTTTAGCTCTCATACGTACAAGTTTTGTGGTCAACTTGCAAAATCTTACCCATTGGTCGAATCGAATTACAAACATAGAGCATGCATGCACGAGCACTTCATTTTATCATGGTAATCTTATCTCACTTATTTTAATATGTAGTTTTTGTTTTGTTGATTTCGATTAATTGCCTTTTCTTTTTTTTTTGTTACTGTTGCAGCACTCTTACTTAGTCCGTTAGAAATTAATGACTTGAAACAAGACTATAATAAATTACTGTTGCAGCACTCTTACAGATTCGCTAAATAATTTTGATGATAAACATTAGCATTCTCAAAACTGAAACAAATTACAGAGTTACGACTTCAACTTTCTATAATCTATCTTTAATATCAGGCGAGAAATTTACATGCGTAGGATGATTTAACATGGCCATAAACCCTGCCATATCTTAGATTTTTAAAACACCAATATTTTCTAGTGAATTTTGAAAAGATTGAAACTTAATAATGATATGAACGTGTGATCACGATGCTGTTCTAGTGTTCTGTTATCTTTCAAACAGTAGTAGTAAAACTACTAAGACCAATATAATTAGAGAGAGTAGTTTCGGTTATCTGAAACACACAAAACAAAGTACTATAGTATATATGGATTGTGCACACCAAACTATGACTTATTCACATGCAAGTTTTTGGGAATTGCTAACTTTGCAACAACGTATATGCGTACCACTAAAAAGTCATAAAAGTTCTATAGAATATTAGATTGACTGCTGCATAGACCTATATATATTTTAAAAATTAAAGCTTATTTTGATCCATATTCTATCAAGAATGATGGATCACAATTTGATGTATATACGTATCTGATTAAAAAAAAAAAAAAAAAAAAAAATATACGTATCTGATTATAAACTCACATATTTTGGGACACTCACGTACGCCTTGAGGAGACCAACCCTAACCCCAAAGCATTATCTCTTTAGCAACGACAAGGACAAGACACCACTTACTTCTATGGAATCTTTATCACAAAAAGATCAAACTTTCTTATAACCTTATATCTATATAAATCAATACACCCACACACACATTGTGTATAATAATGTAACAGCTGAGTGGAATTTGCTCACACTGTTACTACATACAAAATATAATTGTATCAGTCATTCACATGTGAAACAATAGATGATCTAAACTAAATATATGAGAATTATTAACTGAAGATAAAAATAATCTTTGTTTTATTTGAAATATGGATAGAAAATTTCTCAAAAAATTGTAATGTCTTGTTTGTTGATCAGTTTTGACTCTTTAATTTTTTTCTTTATCTAATTGTGTGTCGTCATTAGTAGTGTTTAGGATCGGAGTCTTTCAGCTGTACTTCGTTATCTATATATCGATTCATTCGAGTCCCAAACTGCTTTTGGGGAAAAACGAGTCATTTGGGATGTTGTCCACATAAGATCATCTCCAATGAGGAGTCTTAATCTTACCAGCTTTTTAGTTTTAAGTTTTGGAGATTTAAAAGTGAAGATACCCAAACTAAGTCTTAACAAATACTTTGTCCAATGGTAAGACACTTTTCATGGATCTTAAGTTTTTTTTTTGAAAATAAAGTTTGGTTTAAATTAAATGTAAGTAATTTGGTGTGTTTTCATGTGTTAAGACTTAGTTTTGAAAACAAAGATAACTTGGTGTGTTATCATGTGTTAAATGGGACAAAGTGTTATCATGTGTAAGACTTAGTTTTGAAAACAAAGATATAGAATAGATTCAAAAAGGAGAGAAAGTGTGATCAATGTGTTAAATGCAAAAACAGAGATTTATTGGTGTTTATGTAATACAAATACAAATGAAATTTGTGTCATCTTCTTTTAAGACAAATCAAAGAGAAATGAAAAACACGGGATGGTTTTTTTTTTGTTGGTCATATTTTCTCTCACCCAAGCAGATGCTGACACGTAGGGGAGTCTTAACTTTTAATGGATCCATTTTTAAGACTTGGTTCTTATACATTTGTTGATATTTTTTTTTTTTTGATTTTGGACTTAAGACCTAAGCTAAGACCCTCCATTGGAGGTGCTCTAAGTATATATGGGATGTGACGAGAGACTTTTGATTGTTGGATGGAGCTAAAATTTGGCATATATACTAGAAATTTGAGATAGTTTTATTTGGAGATGGTTTGAGGTCATTCAAATGGTTGAATACTTGAATTGATAGATAGTTATGAAGCTTAGTTAAAAAAATGTCTATCTGGCCAAATATCGCGGAGCTAGTATACCGAGCTGCACAATGCACACCCTTGCTCCAGACCGGTATGGCGGTATCACTCATGCCCTCTTCATGTATTTTATCTTCTTCCTTTTTGCTTTAAACTTTATTTTCTTGTATTTGAAAGAAATACCTTTATATAAAAATTGCTCACATTTATATAACCTTTTGATTTTTTCTAACATCTGATGCTCAAAATATAAGCTATCAACCATAACGAAACATTTGTGCTCACATTTTCTTTTTGTGACTCCTTCCTTCTTTTTCTTCACAACTACGTAATCAAAATTGCTAACTTTGGTTTTATTTTTTCCACGGTAATTGAAGCAGCTAGCTACTCATCTACAGCAGCTGAAGAGTGGTGAGGGAAACTAGCCCAGACGTCTTGCCACGTCATCTTCCCCTCTGCGACTGAGCTAACCACGGAAGCTGCCTCCTTTAAGCTGACTCGAACTTGGTCTTTGCTGTCTCTTTCTCTGATTGTCACTGATGTGTCCGAGTCCACTGTAATTGCCAATGGTACTCCAAGCTCATCGGTTCTCGCGTATCTCTTCCCTATCGATGTACCTGTTCACACAAGCAAATCTTCACTCGCTCTCCTCCATTTCAAAATATTAAGAACTTGTAATTGTCAAATTGTTTACGTACCAGTGATGTCAATCTTATGTGAGATGCCAACAGAAGCGAGTTCCTTTGAAATAACTTTGGCTGCTTCCTCGAATTGTTGGTTCTGAACAAGCGGGAAAACCGTGCACTTGATGGGTGCTACAAGAGGAGGGAAACGGAACACATTCAACTGTTCATAACCTGCTTTGCTCGGCCTTGTGCCGAAACAGTGCTCATACAAACAATATATGATCCGACCAATCCCAAATGATGGTTCAATCACTGAAGGAGTGAAAACCCGCTGGTTCTCTTTCTTTTTCTCCTTTGAGATTGACACCATATTCTTCTTGATGCTCACGTTTTTCTCTAGGGTACATACGTAAAACTCTACTTCCCCTTTGGATTCCAGAGTTGCTTTCATCTGCATAGCTTCTTCTTCATTCATCGCCTAACAAAACATTACATAAAGCATAACCATCAGACAAAGAAATATGTTAGTAAAACAATGGATTTCAGTCACTCTACCTCTAAAGATTCAACCACATTCTTTTGATTTCCCTTGAATGCAAGACCAAGTTCTTTCTTCACGGGAGTAATCACAAGTATCTGAAATAACAGAGAACCCATATTAAGGACAAGTTATAGAGACAGACATAAAAATGTTGATTAGAATACCTCTACTTCTTTAGGTTCTGCAAGTTTCTCTTCAGCCACAAGAGGAACGCCACTTTTTTCCTGCCATACAACAATGGATCCATAATCTACTTTAGTAAATTAAAATAGGAATACCTCTGGGTTTTAACCATCAATTCTCTAGCTGTCATATGAAATGACGAAAATAGAAGTAAAAGGTGAGTTTCTTACTGAGTGGGCACATAAGTCGAATGCAGACCTATCTGCAATCCCAACACATTCAATCCACCCATATGAACTCTCAATTTCAGCATCCCAACAATCTGCAGCATAGTGGGCCATTTCATTTGCTAGATGCTGGCGGAAACGCAACCGTTCCTTGTCTATGCCAAGACGAACAAGGAAAAGATACACTCTCCCAATGAAGTAGCCTAGAGTTTCATTGTTCACAGTTCCCTATTCGAATACAGTTGCAGGCAATAATAAGAAATCACAAAAAAGTTCTGTGGGAGTGCTTAGTAGAATTAAGTAGGCGCAGATGAGTACAGATACTGACCTTGGCAACAGCTTCGCCAAGGCAAAATTTTTTGGCAGATTGGCCAGACATTTGTTCCTCTCTTGGAAACATCAGGAATTCCAATTTTGCTACCTCAGAGAATTTCGGATGTGACTTATTCTCAGGATCAACAAAATGCTCAATTTCTGCCAGAGTGAATTCACGAACTCTAAGAAGCCCTTGACGAGGAGATATCTGCAAGTAATATGCTACTTATTGAACCAAGACATAATAGAAAAAAGAGTCCCTTAAAGAAGATTGAGATAAACACATCCAATCTACCAAGCAAAGCAATCGCAAAAAAAAAAATCACCTCATTTCTAAAGGCCTGACCAATTTGAGCAGCAGCAAAGGGAAGTTTTCTCCCATTGTAGTAATACAAGTCCTTAAAGTTCACAAAAATGCCTTGTGCAGTTTCAGGCCGCATGTAACTGACACACACAAAAAAAAGAAACTTGATCAAAAACCCAAGACTTAACTAGCTCAAGAACACTTACAACATGAATAAAATACTCACCCGGGACTCGAACCAGATGGACCAATGGATGTTTGAAACATCAAGTTAAACGGATAAGGATCAGAGAGAGGGTTCTTCGTGTCCGGAGCAGTAATCCCATACTCCTTAATCTTAGCACCAAGCTGTTCAGTAGAAAAATCTTCCATAACAGCAAGAACATCCTTCAATTCAGCAGCTTTCTCAGCCGAGATAGTAAGATCTTTCTCCAACTTCTTGTTACAATAATCCTTAAGCAAGTGATCTGCACGGTAACCAGTCCCAGTTTCCTCATCCTTAACCATAAGATCAGTAAACTTATCTACATGTCCAGACGCCTTGAGAACAATCTCTGGTGTCACACATGGACAATCCACTTCTAGCATATTCTCCTCAAGAATGAAATGCTGCAAATAGAACCAAATCAACCCCGTATAAATAACAAACCTAACACAATCTCTACTCTATGAATCATGTCAAATTTACCTCAATTTCTACTCAAATCAATCCCAAGTAAGAACAAAACCTAACACAATCTCTACTCTATACCATGAATCATGTCAAATTTGACTCAATTTCTACTCAAAATCAGTCTCGTAAACCTTGTTTGTTACTTACTTGACGCCAGAAGCTAAGAACATTGGATTTAACAGCACAACCAGGAGGACCATAATCGAAAAGTCCGGCGAAGCCACGGTAGATTTTGAACGAAGGAATATAGAACAAACGCCTCTCAAGAGTATTAACCACATTTTGTCGAAAAGCCTCACGGTTATGTGAACCGTTTCCGATACTGGCTTGAAGCTGCTTCTCAACGGCGGATTTCTCGAGCTTCAATTTATTGAGTAGCTCAATTGCAGCATCGATCTCCGGCTTCGCTGCTCGTGAAGCCTTGAGAGCTCTGACGACATTTCCCTGAGCTTCGACGGAGGAGGATTTCTCCGATAACGATTCACGAAGAGTCTCCATTAGCATCTGATCGGAGCAATGTTAATTTTTTCTGTTTTTAATTTTATTTATACAAAATTGCGTATTTATCAAGACGGCGTCGTATGAGAGAATGAACAAAAACCCTAAAGAGCAAAGCACTTAAAACCCTCTCTGTTATATAAATAGTCTCTCAAAACCCTTTCTTCTTCTCTTTCATTTTTTAGCTGCTCATAAACCCTAAAAATCCTCTCTTTCTCAAACTTTTTTCCTACCTCGATTCTTAGCTATGGAGTTCTGGGGTAAGATTCTTCTACGTTTCAGTCATTTAATCGATGTTTTTGTCTGAAGCTTATTGGGTTTTCTTAAAAATCTGTTTTCGAACTCTCTTGTGGCTGCTTCCTTGTGTGTGTAGTTTCATCTTGGGTTTACATAGAAATGGTTATCTTGTATAGGAAATAGTGTGGTAGGGTTTAACTTGAAGCTGTCTCTTGATACTCATGTTGATTTTTGTTATGTAATCAGGAATTGAAGTTAAACCAGGGAAGCCAGTTACAGTGACTCCTAAAGAAGGGACTCTTATCCACGTTTCTCAGGTTTAGTATCAAATTATTATTGATTTGATTCTTAGAGTTTTTAGAGGTTTAGTGTAAACAATCTTGGATCTTTCTTTGTTTAGGCATCGCTTGGAGAATGTAAAAACAAGAAAGGAGAATTTGTGCCTTTACATGTAAAGGTTGGTAACCAGAACTTGGTTCTGGGAACTCTATCAACTGAGAACATCCCTCAGCTTTTCTGTGATTTGGTATTCGAAAAGGAGTTTGAGCTTTCTCACACTTGGGGAAAAGGAAGTGTTTACTTTGTTGGATACAAAACTCCCAACATCAAATATCCTTGATGATGTTTATTTGTACTTTGTTTTGGCTTTAGATAGTTTCTTATTGATTTGAGTGTCTATGGTTTCCTTAACTCTTAATCGATTGTGTTTTCACTGAGGAAGGAGAATGCTTTTCTGGTGAGTTTCTTGCAAATCAATTATTCTCTTTGTAAGTTTAATATTGGCTTGGTTGCTAATGATTCGTTATGTGTTGTATTGACAGATTCAGAGGAAGAAGAGGAAGAAGAGGAAGAGGTTGAAGAAGTTCCTGCCACCATTACTGCTAATGGTACTTAAACTAGGCAGAGACTACTTGTTGCCTTGATTTGTTTTCCTGATAATTGGTAATAACTAGTTCCGTTTGCAGGGAATGCTGCTAAGGCTGTAGCAAAACCAAAGGCTAAGCCTGCAGAAGTGACAAAGACTGCAAAGCCAGCTGCTGATGCTGAAGAGGATGACTCTGATTCCGACGAAGGAGTGAGTTGCTATTGCTTTCTGTGATATGACTATTTGTTTACAGTAATATGTATATCATAACATTCCAGAATAGTGTGTGAGGAGAGGAGACATATTTTTTCAAGTAATGTTAGTGACACATTCTTGTGTTATGATTCTTTCAGATGGATGAAGATGATGACGATTCAGAGGAAGAAGAGGAGACACCTACTCCTAAGAAGCCTGCATCAAGCAAGAAGAGAGCAAATGAGACTGCCCCTAAAACACCTGTGTCATCAAAGAAGGCGAAAGTAGCAGTTACTCCTCAGAAAACAGGTAAAGATATAAACCATTCTCATATATTATTCACTGAATTTTGGAAACATAATACCCATCTGAACCTGTTTTGTCTTCTTTGGAACAGAGGAGAAGAATAAAGGTGGAAAGACCCCCAAGACTGCAACCCAGAGCCCAAAGTCTGCCAGTCAAGTTTCCTGCGGTTCATGCAAAAAGTGAGACACTCTCTTTCTCTAACTTTCTCTTCACTGCTCAATATGTCTGGTTCTAATAAGATTTGCTTATTGGCTTATCTTTATGGCAGGACTTTCAACTCAGGGAATGCACTTGAGTCTCACAACAAGGCCAAGCATTCTGCCGCCAAGTGAAGTGGTTTCTTAGAGCTTATCAAATATTCCTCTCTTTTGTGTTTTGAGTAGGATCATTATGATATCTTTGGAATTTTGCCTGTAGTCTTTATGAAACCTTCGGATTTTCATCTTTTTTTTTTTTACAAGTCTTAATGAAAGAGAGCCAATTGGAGTCTTATCACCACTATATTTCAACATTATATCTTGGCACAATTTGTTAATTTAGATTCAGGTTTTCACCATTTTAGACTTAAGCTTATGGCGCGGTTCTCTATCGGCTTTACGGGTTTCAACATTCAAAACCTATCTTCTTGATCTCCAAAGTAAAGAAGACTTGAATTGCCCACTCTTCTTGAAAAGTTGCCAACTCTTCTTGAAAAGTGCAAATTCAGTAAATAAACAAAGCCAATCATTTTCACATATGTCCTGCTCCTGAACCTGTCAAAACATAACACATCCAAATTGCAGAAGAGTATATATCTCCAAGAGACTAGAGTAAACACAGAGATGGTAATAGTACATACAATTCCGCAAAAAAAAAAACGAGTCTTTATGGAAGGAGTCGATTCGCAGGAAAATAGCCACTACTTAGCGATTAGTATGAAGTAAGAGCCAGTTCGGTGGGTTTCTTAAACGAGTCTATATTCTTCACAATCTAACTTAGTTTCAAGTACTGGTGATTCTTTTTCGAAAGTATCTTCTCAAATTAGCTGTGCGAAAGGATGTGATTATGAACTGCAAAAACCCGATTCAGCCTGGCCTAGTCTTGATATACTATTGTATAGTGAGATGAGCTGTGGTGAAAAAACAAAGTACATCTATGGTTAAAAGGCATAAATAAGGCTTGGCCACATCTAATACTATAAATTGGGGGAGTACAAGTAAATGACTATGGAGTTCTTAAAATTTACATGAAAACAATAGAATCTTAGGCCATATGTCAAATCGAAAATTTATAAAGAACCTAAATAAGTGGTTAAATTGAAAATATATATCACTAGATGCATGAAACTACCAAAAATTTCATTATTCGTCATCTTCCTCAGATGACCACGCCATTTCCACTCCTTTAATATCTCCAAGCCCTTCCAAATTTTCGAAATTGTAAACGTTATGGATGCATGGTACTAAATATAAAATTGTGATTACAAATATATAAAACATGGTTATAGTGAATACGAATATATCAAAATCTTGAATGCTTAACTTGATTATGATGGTTGCATTTACTATTATAAAATGCTTATACAGTTTGAGATATATATGTAATGCATGTTACTGATCATTAGGTCGACCGATGTTCATAATCCGATCCAATCCCAACTCATCAACTCAATTGGTTTAAATATTTTAGTTGTCATTAATGGGTTAAGAAGATAAATGAATTAATATGAGTCAAATTAATAGAATGCATTTCATTAAGTTGTAAAATTTTCTTGGGTTGATGGTTGTATGTTTAACCATTAATTAACCATTAATCTGGTTCAATTCACACTAACTAAACCGGAACACAAGAAAATTTGGTCAAACAAGGTCAACAAATGTTATAAACAAATGGGCCTAGAAAAGCCCTAACGTTATCTTTTAAACCGACACCAAATAAACATTATAAATAACCACAAAACTAGAAATTTTCGATTTAGGTTTTCTCAACAAAACTTTGTTCAGTCTCCAAATTCAATCTTCTTCACTTTCTTCAAGATTACGCTTCTTTCACTTCTGTTAAAAACGATGAAGAAAACGGGAATGACTTGCAGATGGATAGCTTCTGATGCAGTTTTCAACAAATTATCGATCAAATTCAACGTTCTCGTTGTTGCAACGATGATTCTGCTGAGGATGACATCGAGAGAATCAATCAAATTCGAAAACTTTGAGATATGGAAAGTAACTTTTCGTGAGGCGATGGGGCTTTTGACTCTGATGATGGCTTCTCTTTATTACTCGGGAAGTTTTCGCTGGATTTTAACTGACTTGCTTAAGTTTAACGATCCATTGGTAAGGATTGACAAAGAGTTGGCTATGTTATATGGTTTCTTGACTTTGGCCTTTTACCTCATGAACTTGTTCGGATTCTTCTGGGGACTTTTATGGCTACCAGTTTCTCCTCCGAGTCTTCTTTTGGTTCTTCGATTCGCCAAGTCCAGAAACGTTAAAGAATTTCAAGATTAGGTTGCTTGGAGATGAAGATTCCAATCTAATTCAACACATGGATCATATATGGGGTTTAGGGTTGAATCGTTTGGTGGTGATTTTTAGGTTTTTCTCTCAGATGTTGTAATTACTGCTATGAATAATCTCAAGATTAGATTGCTTGTAGATGAAGGTTCAAATCTGGGTTTTAGGGTTTTTTCTTAGGGTTGGATCGTTTGCTGATGATTTTTAGTTTCTTCAGTTGTTGTAATTACTGCTATTAGTTTTGTTTTGCTTTTGAAATTCAGAATTTATTCCAAAATACATTGAAAGTTGAAACGATAGATTGTACTCTGTTTAGAGAACCTTTTTTACTCTGTTTACTGTATATTGAATCAACAAATCGAAGCTCGACCTTCGGGTCTTGAACATAAGCTATGTACGTTTCTCGTATCCGATGTGGAAAAAGTAAGATTTGATAAGCTAAGGAATCAACTGGTATTGATTTTCTTTAAAGAATTTCTAATGGTCGAATCTTATAAAAGTATGCTATTATGGTATGTGTTTCCCTAATTTGTGTATTATGGAGTTCATATATGAGGTGGATGTGTGTGTTAGTGTGTATAGTGTTAACTCATATTATTATCAGTTTTTAGAGTCTTTTTGGTAATAACAAGATAGTTTTAGATGCTTTTGTATCTTTAATAACCCGTACAAGAACTAAGCCCAAGTATAGAAATCAGTGAAGAAATAGGGAAACTGATTCGAAGAAAATCAAATTTTTGTGTTATGGTCCAAAACTTGATCTACTTGCCATACCCGTAAGAAGCACACCAAAAAAAAAAAAAAACCCTAAATCTCGAAGCTTTGGATCTTGGAGATGGCGGATATTCTACGACAGCTGTTGGATAGTGGAAAATTATCAGACGAAACCTGCCACTCGATTTTGTGTGGATTGAGTAAACATGTTGATACTTTTCATTTATCCAAAACCGAAGAAGAAGTCGATGGATGGACTTCTGAGGAAGATGAACAACTTGACGAAGAATACTGTCGCCAAGTTACCGTGTCTCTGGTACTCTCTCATGTCTCTGCTTTGATTTGGTATTTAGGTTCTGTGTTTACGAGGAAAGCTTTTGTCTTATACCAAAATTTCGATGCTTTTTGGTGTAAATTGGCTACAGGGTTTCGATATTGATGGTAATGTTCGTATCCCAGCATGTGGAATCTCACCAGTCTTTCTAGGTGCTAATGAAAACCCGCGTAGCGATATCGCTCTTTATGGCCATTTGGGAGTTCATTGCTTCAACATTGACAAGGTTTAGTATTCAACTATTCATATCTGAGAACTGTGGAATATTATCTTATATCGTCTTGTTTTGATTTGTCATTCATTTTTGTTTCAATCTTTGTAGGAGAGGAAGTTGAAGTACATGCGCATACCTAAATACAATATTCAATTTCCTAAAGCTATGTCTTTCTATATAACCGTGGAGGTGAAGGATCTTGCTGATAATTCAGCTCACACTTTACAGACCTTGGTCACAAGATCTTTCTCTAGGAATGGAGAGCACTTAAGAGTCTCTACTGGAATTTGCAGAATCAAACCCGAAACACCTGGTAACTCTATTAGTAGTGATATACAAACATTCAAAGTTGTAGCTGAAAAGTTTGAATGTGTGTTGTTAATATTGTAGAAGGAGATATCTGTCTTGTGGATGAGGAAGCAATAGATAAGTTTTACAGAGGTGCTATGCCCAACTTTGTGTCCAAAGAAGGAGCTGACGATGATAAGTTGAGATTCTACGAGGTAAAACGTGTTTCTTATATGTGTTTGAAAGAAACGAACTCTTTATGATGTGTTGTATTTGACAGGTTCAGGAGCAGGACATATGTGCAAATGATTGGCTACGTCTATATACCGAATTTGCACTTTTTTCCTTCTGGAGATATAATGAGGTACTTGAGAGTGGGAACCTTGCAGGATGTTTGGGTTTAGTCTTATGTATATTCCGCAATTTTTGAACTTTAGTAAGCTTTTTTTTTACAGGACGGATTTGAGTCTTGTTTACCTGTGGAGATCAAGAAGATAATTGTGGAAACTTGTGAAAATCATAGAGAGCCGCGTCTGAAGCTGAAGTCTAGTAATGCCATCTTCCACATAAACTTCAGTGCCAAGAGTTGTGACTACAAATCGGTTGTAAGGAGAACGACGGATGGGAAAACGGGACATATAGTTCTCGAAATTAATACATGGAAGAACGATCAACCAAGCTCCACCTGAACCGCTGTCCTTAAGCCGCCTAATTTACTAGATTTCATCGATTAATGTTTCCAAAAGGCTTTAGTTTTTACTCGTTTTTATCCGTTAATTGGCCAAAACCTTATTTATGCCATCATGGATGTACTTTGTTTTTCACCCCAGCTAATCTTATGAAGGTTTGTCTGTACATTCATTGACATTATATTATGTATTTAATTTCTCCTTGTGAAGCTTTTCTTGACCAACGAGCTTTTGAACTTATGGACCTCTATATTTCTTGATGACCAAATTTGTTTTTTTTCTATAACACTTTGTTAATAGCTTTGTTAAATGACGTTTAGTTTATTGTAGGACTAAGTAATTATGGATTGCGATTTGTGTTCGTTTAAAGAGGACTCCCTGTGTGTTTTTAACATGGTTATCTCTACATACTCGTTTTTATGCATTTTTGTGAAGGATGTACTTTGTTTTTTCACAATAGCTAATCAGGATTAGGCTTAAAACATAGTCAACACGGCCGGGCCGAATCAAGTTTGTGCGGTCCATAATTACATCCTTTGGGACAGTTAATTTGACAAATCAGTATATTGCTTTCGCTTTCATGTGATCTAACTCTCTAATAACATGGACTAGTAAAAGCTATTGTTTCGATGAATTTTTGAATAAAATCTGAATTCGAAAGCAAAACCAAACTTAGTGCTAAACTCATAGCAGCAACTTGCAACACCTGGAAAAAAAATCATAGACGCAGCAGGAAGCTCGCAGAGTCTGTTTCAATCAAGCCGCCTTTGAAACAGGTTCAGCTACAAATCAGGACCGTAATTGAAGGAAGAAGATCAGACGGTGTAAGATGATTGCACGAGTTGTCGGGTAATAATCTAGATCCTTCTCTTTGCCTCTATAAGAGTAAGATTGGTCTGGTTGTAAGCTGTAAGGTGTGAGAGTTGTTTGTAAGAGAGAGAGAGAAAGTTGTAGAACCCTAAAGGCTCAAAGATAAGAGCAAGTTCTTAGTGGATTTCCGAGAATATCTCGGCGAGGCGTAGGGATTCAAGTCTGAATCCTGAACTCGTTAAATTCTGGTGTGTTCTTTACTTTCAAGTTTCCGTACTTACAAACGAGAGAACAAAACAGAGAGTTGAGAGAGTTAAGTTTAAGACATAAGCTTAAAAGTAGTCAACTTGAGTGTTCTAATCCTCACAGTTTGGTTTTGTGTTTTGAATTCAGAGTTTGTTCAAAAGTACATTGAAACAATAGATTTTACTAGTCCATGTTATCAGAGAGTTTGGTCACTTGAAAGCAAAAGCAAAATACTGATTTTTCAAATTAACCGTCCCAAAGGATGTAATTGCGGACGGCACAAACTCAATTCAGCCCGGCCGTCACGACTATATATGTTTTAACTCTAAGCCTAGTTGTGATTATACTAATGAGAAGTGAAATTTGAAAAAACAAAGTGCATCAATGACTAAAAAGGCGTAAATAATAAGGTCTAATTAAGTCTAATGCATGCTAGTGTGACATATGCCTAATTATAATAACTTTACCAAGTTTGAGTGATAAGATACCCAAATACAATTCCCAAATCCATCAAACTGAGTCTTACTCTATAACCGTGGAGGTGGAGGATCTTGCAGATTGTTCGCCTCACATTTTTCAGACCTTGGTCACAAGGTTGTTTCCCAAGAATGGTGAGGGCTTAAGAGTCTTTACTGGAATCTGCAGACTTAAACCCGCGACACCAGGTTTTTACTATTTACTGACATTTTCTAAGGATTTTCATACTATATTGACAAGTATGTTATGTTTTGAGATGTCCATGCAGATCTTGAACTCTCTCTGTTTATGTCCGTAGACTTTGTGATATGTCATTTTAAAAAGTTACATTCAGGGTTTGCAACATGGATTTATGTTTTTAACATTGTAGGTAAAGGAGATGCCTATGCTATATTGGATGAGGAAGTAATAGATGGTTTTTACAGAGGCGATATGCCGGACTTTGTGTCGGAAGCAAGAGCTGATGATGAGCTGAGATTCTACGAGGTATAGGTTTATGTGTTTTTGAAGTAAATGCACCTTAAGAGTTTTTTTGGATCTGTGTGCTCTATTTGCTCGAAGTATATATGCTCCTCTTATGCAGTTTGTATTTTGTTATTATGTTACACAGGTTCAGGAGCAGGACATATGTGAAAACGATTGGCTTCGTCTGTATACTGAATTCGCACTTTTCAGCTTTTGGTGGTTTAATGAGGTATTTGATAATGGGAAACTCATAGCATGTTTTGGTTTGTATCTTCCGATTTTTATCAACTTTAGTAATCTTTCTTTTGTGCAGGACGGATATGAGTGGAGCTTGCCTGTGGAGATCAATAAGATAGTTGTGGAGACATCTGAAACTCACAGAGAGCCGTGTTTGAAGCTCAAGTCTAGTAATGCCATCTTCCACATAAACTTCAGCGCTAAGGGGCGTGACTACAGATCTGTTGTAAGGAGATCGACGGACGGGAAAACAGGACATATACTTCTCGAAGTTAAGAGCTGGGCCGATCAACCGACCTCCGCCTGAACCATATATGCTTACTACTACTACTACAAAAACAAATTACTCAATGTTTGACACTTAAGTTTTTAGTTATGGATTTCTTTTTCTTTTTCTCCTAAGCTATTATAACATCTTTTTATGAAGGCTTATTCATATCTATGGTCGGTCACATTACTCGTTAACTATATATATGGATAAATAAAAAGAAAGGGTTTTTGGTGTTATCTATCTTGAGGCAAATTCAGTCTCGTTTTCTCGAATCAAATTAAGTTTAGTGTCATTACATGGACAGATTGTTGGTGCTCGACCCCGTTAAGTTAGTCCAAAGCGACTTATCTAGCTAGGTCGCTCGAGAATGTCTCGGAATCCCATGTCCTTCTTATAAGTTTTAATCCTGCACTGAAGAAACAAATCTTTTGGATACTTATTGATTGACGAGACCTTTCCTCAAAGTCTTTCTCCACAGAGCCCAATGATCCATCTGTGAAGATTAGTAGATCATCCGCAAATCATGAATAAGTGATACAAATCATTGCAAGGAAGGGGATAGAGGATCCCCTTTTTCTAAGCGCTCTTTTTCCTTTCAAGTACCCATAGGTAGAGAGCCATTGCACCCAACTGAGAAGGAGGAAGTACAAGAAAAAGCTTCTCTAACCATCTTAGATAGAGTTATGAGATTTAATGACCTCTTAAGGCATTGAAAATACGAGTTCTTCTCGTCGTACAGTATCAAATGATCTGGCAGTATCGTTAATTGTGTAAATATAAGATCAGATTTATCTGCTTAAAGATGCACACAATGTAAATACAACGTACACATTCATGCCACAGTAGTTGATGATTGATGAATGCAAATTCATTATCATTACTCAAAACGTTTACATAAATTGTTGATGATGTATGATGCAGGTTCAGAATCTTTTCAACTAAGCTGACAGATTCTTTAGGAAATCATACAATCTCAGTTGAAGAAAAATGACTCTTTGGAAAAATAGTGTTTGGTGTATAAGATTCGAGTGGGATTTATAGGAGTGGAGTATCTTGTGACGGAAGATAACTCAATGATTGCTAGTGACAGTGTTCTACTAGTCAGAAAAATAAGAATCAGAGAGGACCAAAACAAAATTATAGTCTTTGTAGGATTTTCGTGATTGTATCATTTTGTACTTATGTAACAGAATCTGAAGTTTTCTGATTACAGTGAAATCCAAAATAGAATCAGAGAACTAATTATTTCAACTCGGAAACAAAGAGAGTATTTGTCCAACAAGTGTAAAAGGTAGTATTAAAAAGAAGCTGCAACTATCTCGTCGTTATTCACAAGTCTTGTATTTTGAGGCTCCTTCAGTACGTACTACAACGAAAAAATACAAAAAGATATCAATGCTAAAAACCATTCACAATCCGTAAATGAATCAATTAGTAGTTTGTTTTGGTATTCTCACCTTTGAACCATCTTTCTTATTTTTTCCGCTGTTTTTTCCTTGATTTTCTTCTCCTCATCCTCTTCTAAGAGCTCCGGGACACAGAATCTCACAAGTAATGGTGTTGGGTTTGTGAAATAATTTGCCTCATGCTCTTGATATCCTTCACCTGTTCGGAGAAGCATGACGTCTATCGAAACCCGAAAATAACCGTCTTTCCCCAAGCGCACACCGTGACTCGACCTAACGTACATGAAACTCTCCCCTGTTTCATCATCAGTTCCCGCTCCTGTTATTGATACCGCGTGCATGCCACAAAACATGGAATCTCGAGGCATTGGTCCACTATAAATGCCCTATCAAAATTACAAACATTTTAACAGTAAGATTATCATTCACGTTTACCTTTTAAACAAACGAAATATGCATATAAATATCTTAGTAAGTAAGATACAATTTACCCCTTTGATATCATCATAGTCCGGTCGAAATATTGGCATTGCCGCTCCTATTGGCTGTGTTTGCAAACGAATGAGAGCTTCTTCTAAAGTAAGTGACTTGACGGCACCAATATACCCCAAGTCGGGATGCAATAAAACCCGGGGCGGTGGAAACTCTTTGCACCCGTCGAAAGGCCGGTCTTCTGCTTTTTGAATACCATGTTGAACTATATACCTTAAGGCTTTTACAATGCTGAGCTTGTAACAGAAATGATCTTCTTTTCCGTTCAACTTTCCCTTCTCCGGAAATACAAAATCCACGAGTTCTTGATAGGAATATTCTGTTCCGTTTTCCCGTCCCTTGATCCACCGGATCGCAGTTACTAATTCAGCCGCCACGACCGTCCAACAAATTTCTACATTTTATTGAAGTGGATTTATAGTTATCAAATTCATGAGAACACAAAAACCAGTTCATAATTATGAAAATAGAATATGGAACTCTACCGTGTTTTCCTTGATCTTTCACGGGACCGTAATAAACTCTCCAATCCGCTTTCTTCGTATCTTCTGGCACTACCTGAAAAACAAGATCATAAGCAAGTAAATTTCTTTGCTCAAATGATGACCAAAATAAAAATCACTCAAGCACCAATACTTACCCGATGTTTTCTGAAACGAGTGTAGACAACATCTATCGTTTCCCCGGCCTTGACATTAGGTTGCAATACTAGTTTGTTCTTGACTTTCAGAATCTCAAACTTTCCATCGGGTCTCATTTCCAGAATTTCCATAAATAAGGAAAGTGGGATGTACTGTTCAATCTTCTTAAGATCTGTAAATAGCTGATCCGATTCATATAGAATCTCGACCTGTGTTATGTGTTCATTAATAACGTCATTAATTACGAAAACAAAATCAAAACATCATCTTTTTACTTGATCGATTGATATTACTCCTAAGAAACTCAACAGATGATTTCTAAACTTACTTCAATAGGGAGAAATTTGGTCTCTGTAGTCGCCTCTCTGTTTTCCTCCATTGTTCTGCAAAAAACTTCCTGCACACGTAAATTCAAGAACGTTAAATTCAATACCACGATCACTCTCAATCAAACACCATGATACACCGAAAACATCAAATAAATCATATCAAGAGAGACAAGTATTTGACACACAAAGAAGATTACTCTCACATTAATCTCACAGTTAACATAATGGATCGAGCTTACAAGAAACCTAATCTACCTCGTTCTCTCTCTATGCCTCTATGAAATTTGAAGAACGACATTCATAAATACAGAGCGTGGAGAGCAAGAAACAAGAAACATGAAGTTGAGACCAAGAAAGCTCTGTTTTTAACAAAGCCCCGAAACAGAAAACCAATTTTATTTGGCTCAGTCGTATGGCAAATCTTTGTAAACAGAGATTTGACCGATCAATAATAAACATTGAAGAACGCAATTGACAAATTAACAAAGAGCGTGGAGTGCAAGAAACAATATCTCAAGTGTTTTGGCACACAAAGAAGATTTCTCTCACATTATGGAGGAAGAAGAAGATAAAGGATCTCATATTATCATGAATTGAGCTCAAGAACAACAAACCAAACAATCTCTGTTTTAATAAACATTGAAGAACGACATTTACAAACCAAAAGCGTGAAGTGCAAGAAAGAAGAATATTAATTGAAGAACACAAATATGTGTTTTTTAACCTTCACGAATTGAAGAATCGAACTGTATGCAATGTGTACGAAGAAGATGAAAGAAGAAATGTGATTGTTTAATTATCTCTGTTAATGGCGTATATATATCAAGAAGACGAGATCAAAAAGAGAAAAAGAAGAACGAAGAAAGATTACGACTACTTACTATAACTGAACATGTCTTTAGTCTATAATCGACGTCAACACGAGAACGCGTTTCAACTCTTCTTTTGTTTTTCTTTTTATTGGGGAAAACTAATAACATTGTGTTTTTCACTATGTGTTTTACAAGAATTCTACGTGGAGCACTAATTGCACCCAAGAATGGATTGTTTTTTTGGTTTGTTAGCATTAAGATTCCATTCTTTGTTGTTCCATTAGAGGCAATATCGTAACTATATATCATTTTGATTACAAGGTTATGACATTATATAACTCACTAATTAAAAAAGTTAACATTTTCAGAGAAAACGTATAATGATAATTAGATTATAGAACCAATAAACAATCAAATTTAGTTTCTAATTAGTCTTGTAACTTATTTATTTTTAAGTGAATTGAAACCTATATTTCTAAATACAATGTAATATATATATCAATGTTGGATTCTATATTTAAATTGCATTGCTAATTTTTAATTTATTTAAAAAGTTAATTTCATTTGGTCAATGAAATTTCGGACTATGCTTTTTAATACTTTAAAATTTATATTTTCACTTAGTTTTAAAATCAAATTAGCAACTCAAACATCTAACATTAATATTTGTCTGTTATACATTTTAGTTGGATTTTCATACTTAATAATGATATCCATTTTAGTTGGCTTTTTATACTTAACTAGATCAGAACCCGTGCTGTATAGCACGGGATTTTATATTTTTTTGAATTAAAATTGTTCATTTTATTTGAATTATGTAAGAAATAATATAGTGTAATAGTATAGTATAAAAGGGAATATATCATATTATTTTATGTTTATTACTATTTGGATATTATGTTGTGTATTATTTATTTGGCGATAATTGTATATTTTGTTTGTGGGAATATTGTATTGTATATAAAATGTTTTTAGCTGCATTAGAATTGTATTTTTGTTTATATGAGATTAACAATTTATTTGGTTCAATTAGGTATTCATAATTGCATTGTGTCATTGAGAACAAAAAAAATATAGCTGTATTGTGTTAAAGTTTTTACGTGGGCTATATTGGATTTTGTTTTCTCAGTTCCAAATGTATTTGGTCCAGTATCATATTGTTTTGAAAAAAAAGAAAAAAAACAATGTCTGAACAAACAGGATACACCGCAAGACGATTTACTTACTAAAAGTAGTGATTTTAAAAATTTATTGATAATGTATTAAATATAAAAAAATTCAATTAGTTTACAATTATTATTAAGTAGCGCTATACCACGAATAATTTTTGTTTTATACATTCTTATTTAAAACAGGATAATTTGATATATGTAATAATCGTGGTATTAAAAAATAATAAAGTGAGGGTTTAACTCATATTGAAGCGGCGAGCTAATGATATTTTAAATTTTTTTTAATGTTAATTTAAACCCGTCCTACCATATAACCTGTCCTGCGATATAATCTGTCATGTGCTATGTTTTGTTAATATGTTCAAGTGTTCATAATATTATAAACTTTTTATTGATTTTAATTTGTCCCGTATTGAAGCGGTGAATTAATGATATTTTAAATTTTTATTAATGTTGATTCAAAACCAGTTCCGCAATATAATTCGTCCTGTGTTACTTTTTATTTTTTATACGCTCAAATGTTCATAATATTATAAACTATCTATTGCTTTCAAATATATAAATTATAATATTTCCGGTATAATGAAACAGTTTAACTAAAAACCGAATTAACCCGTATACAAATTTTTAAATTTGGATGCTTACTAAGTTAAGGTTTCCGCTCATTCGGATTTGGATTCATGTAACCAAATTATTAAGTTAAGAATATTTTCTACAGATTTGAACACACCCTTTTAATTAATTGGATAATATATGTCCCTTATTAAAATTTCGAATCACATGCAGAAAACAATTTGAGATTTTTTTAACTTTATGTATTATATGATAATTCAAAAGAGTTAAAAAATAAACATTTTTTCGTGTTGAGCGTTCTAAACTGAATCCCGATTATCATTACACTACCCATGGCTCAGTTCGTGTTGTTTTCGATTATCCTTTCAATCAAATCATTCTAAGATGTCTCACAAGATAAGATAAGAAAAACTTTAGTAAAAAAAAAGTTGCATTGTATCCACACAAGTTAGAAACACCAAAGAGCTTACTCTTCTTCTATTAGTCATCGAAACAGAAGATAATCTTCTTACCGCAGAATCCGCCCATCATAGGTACCTCCTATTTCTTCAGATTCGCTTTGGTCTCCAAATTTTCTTCTTCTTCTACTTCCTCTTCTGCTTTTTCTTCTTCTTCTACTATCAAATGGCTTTCTACCTTCGACCTGAAATATCAAAAACCCTTTCATCTCTCCATGTATACCAAAAACGTCACCCAATGTGCTCTTCATAAAAAAACAAAAGGCAAAAAGTTACCAAAGCTTCTCTGCAAGGTTGTACCTAATTAACAAAAGAATAGGTTTAAGTTTCTGTTATGACATCAAAACTATAGCAATAAGTTAGAGAAACAAATCTCCATATGGAAAATCAATTTACTTGGGTCGGAGAGGGTATGGAGATATCTCAGCCACGTCAAGAAAAATCTCTCGAATCTTCCCCTTCTTCTTTCTTATATATTCAAATATTAGCCTAACAAATAGTTTGAAAACCAAGTTTAATCAAACAATATAACACAAAGCGTTTTATATCAAAGAATCGAGTGCATCCTTTATTGTATACTAACTTTGATCGATCTTCCTTGCTAATGTCAAGCCGTCTCATCTTGTCCAATGGAGATGCAAGCTCCTCATATAAAGTATGAAAGAGTGATCAGTTCTATGCCTACTACTAATCCGGCTTGGAAGAGTGAAAATATGTAGATGAAACCATTAAACTCTCATTACCCGATTGAGGCATCCAATTTATCAATCCTATGTTACAATAAATATCAAAAACTAAAGCCAAAAATCTCAAATCTCAATTTCACAAAAAGCTACATACTTACTCTAGAGTTTAATGAGGCTTCCTCTTCTTCTATCTAGCTTCTGTTAGCTCCTGCAAGGCTGCAACCCAAATCAAAACTCATCAAGAATCATAAACAAAATTCTAATATTAGAAATTAACAGAGACTGATGCTCATGATGTTAACCATACGCTGCTAAGTACCTTTTTCTTTCTAGACCGAGTTCAAACCTTACTCTAGAGAAGCTTCCAGCTCCGAGAAAACCATTCTCACCAAAATCCACATAGGCCCAAAAATGTTGGTTTTGTCAAAAAACCCATCACAAACTCCACCTTTTGATGAAACAATCCTTCCTTTCGTGAAGCTAATGGCCACCACCAGATTGCCATCTCCTCCGACGATCTACTCCGGCGACCTCTTCCTTCTTCGGCTAACATCTCTGTTAGCGCCAGCCATCAATTTTTGGCGAGTCAAAGACAACCCTTTCATCTCTTATCTTTACCTCTCGATGTGAGGCATCACTGTCATCTGAGCCGGCAAACTCCTCCGCATTGCGGCGTCTTACTCCGAAGAATTTGAAACCTCAACTTCGTCTCTTCCACCGGATCAAACGAAGCTCCTTTGTCTTCTCCGACAAACTTTGGAGCTTCCGTTTCGTCTACTCTGGTGAATCGGACCACCGCCAATGTATATCTCAAGTATCCTCTAATCTCTCTCTTTCTCGTGTACTGTAGTTGTAACCATGTTCGAAATTGTTTCAGACTATTTTTTTGTATGATAGTTTCGGAGACGGTTTATGTTGCAATGTTTGTGATATTCGGTAGAATAGTAAAACCTATATTTATAGTGTTTAGGGTTAGGTCTTATGTTAGGGTTTATACTAAGCATATTCTGTAATTATTTGTTATGCGAATAATGTTAGTTTGTATACGATATTATGTATAGTTAATATCGTAATCAAATCTTACCGAAATTGTAACTGGAATATATTAAATTTCTCTTGTTAGTAATATTTTCTAAAATTTAGAAGGAATCCAAAAATTTTAGCTGCCATATATTGAAGATATGATTGCCGATTATGTAGTTTAGAGAATATTTAAGCGAATATCTTGTAAGTTGCCTTATTAGTAGGAATTGTTATGCAAGGTTAATATATTTGATTAGTATGTGGATATTTCCTTTTCAAATTTAAATTGAAATTAAAAGATCCAATTTGATTAATTACGGATTATATTGTTTAGGTAAAATAATTAAACCCAACTAATATTGTTTAGGTAAAATATTTTCAAAGATTACGAATTGTAGTAATACACCAATTCGAATAATAACTTTTGTTTAATTATAATTCGAATAATACCTTTTGGCTAACTATAAACGTGAAAAATAATTTTTTCTTGATAAATTCGAATTATATAATATTTTTTCAGTAATATAACATTTTCAATTTTTAATAACATTTTCGAATAATGGATTAGTATATAACATTTTCAATAACATTTCGAACTATATGAGTATTATAATTCAAAATAACATTTTTTATAAATTCGATTGATATAAAATGTTTTCAATGAGATATTATTTTCATTAACATTTTTAATAACATTTTTGATAACATGTTCGAATAATGGATTACTATATAACATTTTCAATAACATTTTCGATCACATTTTCGAATAATAGATTAGTATGTAACATTTATATTAATTGTGTAACATTTTCGAATTTATTAGTATATAACATTTTCGAATTATATTAATTGTGTAATCGTTTGAAGAAATATTTTTTCGAATTATATGAATTATATAAACAAAATCTTTTAATATCTTTAAACCCGTTTGACCCGTTGACCCGTTAATATATATATAGTGACATGGCATAAAATAGTTATGATTAGAATTCTCTAATGGCATATATTGTAATTTCTTACAAAATCAACGTTATGATCCTTAGGATGTACTTCCCAAATATTAGTAT